TTCCTTACCGAACCTTTTTTGCTGTACAGAACCTAAAAAAAGGTTCTGTAAGAGATGCTTCTGCGATTGGATAAAACGCAGAACCTTCAAAAGGTTCTGTCGAATTTTTTATCCTTTTTTTGAGACTTTGGACACATTTTGAGCCTTTTAGAAATCTACAGAACCTTTTCGGAGGGTTCTGCAAACCTCCTTTATTTTTTTCAGAGTACGAAACAAAAAAAATATAATTCGATTAATAAATGATAATTTTGAGCAATATATTTTAAATATTAATTTCTTAAAATAAAAATTCATCTAATAAATATGTTAAACAAAAAAAAATTTTTATTTTTATTCATTGTCATGTAAATATCGAGCCCATTCAATAAAATTCATCCATTCTCTAGTCATATAATGAAAACTAATCGATTGTGATGAACAACAATTAAAACCTGGATAAGATTTTTTAAAGTATTATAATCAGAAAACCATTTTGGAATATCCATTTTATGCATAGTAAGAAATTCTAATGGATAAAAACGGGTATTCGTAATTTATGAGAACACCACAAACACCCAACTTTGTAAAATCGCCTATAAGTCACCTTTACGAACACCCACATCTCTGAAAGTTATGTACACAAACACCCACGAACACCCACTTTGTACGAGTCATAAGGAAAAAAAAACGTCAACAAACACTAAAAAATGACCCCCCTCAACACTAACACCCAGAATCTCTCTTATATCCCAAACAAACACCCCAAGTTACTCTTACGAACACCCACAGAACTCCATAACCTACATTTTGACCCGAATATGTGCCATCCCCGAATAAATTTTTATGAGAAACTTTTCATTGGAAACATGTTAGACCAGTCTAAATGTGTCAACTTATACCTACTAACATCCAAAAGGTCTGTAATAACAAGTCGATAGCACTCAACTTACTTTCACTAACACCCACAGACCCATGTAATCTAGTGATTGATATATGATTGAAATAGTTTTGCAAGTAAATTTATCTTGAAAATAGATGTCTATATGATAAAAACTCATAAAATAAGTAGAAATGCATAAAAACAAAAAAATAAAAATAAAAACGTTTGTTAATGTTGAGTTAGGTTATAAAAACAATCCAATAGACCCAAATAGAATGTTCTAATAGAACGAGAGAACTATAACTCAATCTCAAACATATAATTCGAAACACTTTCTTATGTATTTAATTCCAAAAACACTAAAAAAAAGATGAAAAACACCTTGAAATAGATAATAAATTTCAATAAAAATTTTATCAACATCTGAGTAGTAGCTATTTTATACTTCACAACATAAACAAAATATAAAGATATTTCTAATATACTGTTGCATAATATTCAAATCACTTTTATATATAATTCTACCTTAAAGATAGCTAAAAATGAGTGAAATACTCTAATATATTGAACATGATCAAATTGATGCAATAAAAATATCTCCATATCTTATATACATCTATTATATTAATCATTGATATTTATCAATAATCATTATTATCGACTAAAAGTTATTCTAAAAGCAATTTTATTTAAAACATTTATGATGATTATTTTCCTGCTCATTGATTATCTTTTTGCTATATGATAAAATGATTAGAAATGTTGGCGAGAATAAATGCGAGTATGGGTACTGGAAGTAGAGATTAGATTATGTCATGCTAGAAATAAAAGTTATAAGATTAATAAAAGCAGCTTATAATAATTATTTCTTCTTTCTTGTAACTGTTGATGATCCACGAACATTTGATCGGCCTGGCTTTCTTCCTGCGTTTCGTGGAATGTTGAAGTTACGTCTCGGTTTCGAAGCTGCAGAAGTATAGTTATAGTAGTTGTCAATAATTTCGTTGCGCTCTTCAACTTTTTTAGCAGACCATATACGTGAGTCACAACCAAACCTATGAATATTCTAGTAATAAGTTATGATAATGACTACAAATGTCTACCTGGAATAAGGAGGTACTAGTTCTAGCTCTCCAGAATCATACAGAGCTCTGATGGATTCATTTTTTTGGCTTGTTATAAGTTGTCCGAGAATATCGATGATTTCGGATAAAGAGCGAAGTTCCCAATTCGTTTGATTCTTGAAACTATGATTCATAGACTCAATGTCATTGTTGTAAAACAGACGAGCAGAACCATTTCTATCGAGGAAATTGATGGGTATACGGATCGCAGCTATTAAATGATTACGAAATATATTCGTTTGATACTGATTGAACCATTGATAAAAATCTGCACCACCATTAAAACGAGTTTGATCACGTCTTTGGATCGTTCTCCAATATTCACTTAACTGGTTCAACCTGTCTTGAAATTCTTCTTCTGTCTCTGACTGAATAAGAGATTCAGAAGAATCAAATATGAGTTCCAATAAACCACGACGTTCGTCTAATGTCGTACGACATTTCATCAATTGCCGTTCAATGTTTTGACGCACATGTCGTGTACAATAAAGATGGGTTGAATCCGGAAAGACATTGTCCACTGCCTTTTTAATTGCTTTTGCTCCATCACTCCCAATCACGAGTGTACTACAATCGCCCAGTTCACGACGCACATAATCCAATAGCTCCTGATACGACTGTGCATCATCTCGGTAATGAATCATTGTCGGTCCAATAAAAATTGGTGCCTTCTTAGTTTTTCGATATTGAACGGCTGTGTTTCGAAATGCTATTGGTGTGACGAAAAAGCGACCAAGATTAAATGTTGTATCAATACCTATTTAGATTAACAATAGATTGCTATTAGAAAAGTAAAAGTGAAAATTACATAATACTGATGGTTGTGTTTGATCTGAAGGATTGATACAGCACCGTTTTAATTCTTTAATCATATATGGTTGTGACAACACCAACACAGGCGCTTCTCCTCGACTGATCGAAAAACGAGCCACGATGCTGTTGGACTTTTCTAGGTTTCTCATAATAGCTAAATATTCGTCTACATTGGATTCACTTTTTTGCCGCGCATTGTATACTTGATTACGATCGCGAACTGTTGTTAACGATGGTAAGGAAAGTTCTTCAACATTATTAATTGCTGCATTGTAGATGGTTGAAGGTTTAAGATATCGCGGATGTGACTATTTATACACAAAAAATAATTAGATTATTATTATTTTCAATGTTGAACTTAGGCCTATCACAATACCATCAACGTTTGGTAATGACTAATATTGATATTGATCGGTATTGGTACTGAGTAGAGTTAGTACTTTAATCTTTAAAAAATTAAAGTTAAAGTAGAATTTCTTCCACTAAAGAAAGTTTTTTAAGAAAAAAGCAATTTTATATAAAGTTTGATCAAAAGTCTTCAAGCTTGAAGAATCCAAATTTGAAATTGGCTCCTCGAAGTTTTGAATTTGATTTTTTCACAAAAACAGTTTTTAAAAAAAAAAAAAAAAAGGAAAAATTACTTTTACAAAAAAAAGAGTTTTTTTGTGAAAAGTGACTTTTTAAGGAAAAAAAGCTTTCACAGACAGAATGACTTTTTGACAAAATAAAGCCTTTTACAAAAAAAAGTTTTTTTCTGAAAAAAATGAAAGTCAAAATTTCGAAAAGCTGATATCAAATTCATATTCCTCAGTCATGAAAATTTTTGATCAAACTTCATAAAACATTCCTTTTTTTTTTCAAATTTGTTCTTTAGTGAAAGAAATTCTACTTTAACTTGGATTTTTTTAAAGTTAAAGTGTCAATCCTATTCGGTATCAATACCTGTCAATACCAATACCATCAATACTGTATTGGCATTGTGATATGCCTAGTTGAACTCACTTTGATCTGATTGAGAACGAAAGGTAAGGTGGAAGTGAATGGACGATCCGATTTTTTCGCATTACCATGTGGTTTCAGTCGTAGACTTTCGATGTTATCATAGTTACAGATCGCATACTGTAAAAAGATAGGCAGATTCAGTTTATTCGAATCATCTTCTGCCAGCGTTTGGCTCGCATAAGCTATCATTCGACGAAGCGAGGGATTGCTTGAATTTGTAGCATAATGTCTACAAATAAAAATCATTAGTTTAGGCGACAATACATATATAGAAATGTCTACTAACCGGTGCATTGTAATAACTCGATCTGGATCTATTGGACATGAGATATATCGATTTCCTACCCTTTCGTTATAATATAATTTTCCTGAAGCGTCACGACGTACAATCTGATATTTATCTTGTTCTTTGAATACAAATAAAGTTCTTGCAGAACTCATTTGTTTCCATATTCCATTACCGTCTTTTCCGATAGATAATCGATTTTCTTCAGTTAGCTTTACGGTAAATATGGATGCGTGCGTTGTTATTTTTGGTGGCTGTTCGAATACTTTTCCTTCTTTGACAGCATCAATCATATGTTGAATAATTGCAGGCGCTTCGAGAAAAATCTGTCTTTTCTCAAGCACGGAGAAAACATTTTTTGTTTCAATATTATTTTCTTTTTCATCGTCCATTTGACTTGTGTACGTTATTGTTGATCTACTCGTACGTAAAACTGTTTGTGGTAGCACTTCCATTGGTTCAACATATGTAACATCATCATCCATGCTTTCAATACGAGTTGTAGTTTCGATTGCAGAATTCGACTGAAGAATAGAAAGTACGGGCGTAAAATGATTGGGACGCCAGATTCGATCCACCTCCTTTTCGGGACCTGACCACATTATACGAATTGGAGTTTCGAACGATGATAACTGTTTATTTCGCGGAATAAAAACTGTGTTTAATACTTCACTGTAAGCATCATTCTCATTGACACCAGGATATATTGATTCTATCGGTTGTCCAATAACTGTAGACAATGCCGCAAATGTTAGTACACCGGTATATTCTTGATTATTAATAATTCGTAATACATGATTTTGAACAGACTCGTCATCAACGATATCCAAGCCCATTTCAGTCTTTATAGTTTCATAGTACTGTTCGTGTGTACATAATTCATCAATACAGCGAGCACGTAATTCATTTGTCGACATCGTCGGATAAAACGTTTGCAGCGAATGGAATAAACAATCACCATCACCCGCCACCGTAACAGGAACTACTTCATCGGTCGAGATGGTGGTATTTTCTTCAAGAAGTTCCTTCGCATGTTCATCAACTGTATGAACGTTTTCATCGAACATCACCATGGAAGTATCAGGTACATGATAATGATCAATTGCATCATGCATATCGATACATTTCGCTTGCAATCCAAAATAATCATTACATTCGTCCTTGAGTCTCGTCAGAAATAGAAGATAAAAGTCGTCACGAGTTTCCGATTTGCAAATATTGCATAGCATTGAGTTTGTTCGCAGATCACACATAGCACAAGTTGTTCTAGAAACTTGTGTTAATGCTACCATCATGTTTGTTAACATTGTTGTTGTAATCACCACTTGAAGAAAAAAAAAGACTGTGCTCTCTTTCTTCTCTTACTCTTTTATTTTTTATTCTTCATCCCTATGAACGTGACTGATAAATGCCTTTCATCATAAACAGAAAGTGGTTGCGAGTTATTTTTTTTTATTCTTATTCAGTTGCGTTACGTTCTTATCATGGATACTACGATGGCAAAACGAACAGTGATAGAAACATCACTCTACTACGATGAAAATGTTGTAAATTATGTAGCGATTCATCCAGAAGACAATATTTTTTTACATACAAACCGTGTGGAAATTCTGAATAAATATGGTGTCGTCGAATTCGAAGTTATTCTTAAACCAACCGTTACATTAGGTGCAATCGCGTTGAATCGTTTTCAACGTAAGAAGTATCATTTTAAGAAGTACCACAGTTATTATGTACGCTGTGATTCATCCGAAAAATCTTCACGTACACTATTCGATATAATTAATGAACGATTCGATTTCAAGAACAAGGTTGGTGGAATGGAAAGTGTATTAGAAAAAATATTTGGCGACGTCTTGCTTTCACGTATTTATCCACAAAGTTTCGTCGCTAAAACGGATATAAATAAAACACGAGGTATTCTTTTACATGGACCACCCGGTACTGGAAAAAGTTTGATCGCTCGAACTGTGTGTGATATATTAAGAGTAAATCCGAAAGTAATACGTGGTCCAGAAATCTTTTCATCCATGCTGGGTCAATCAGAACAAAATATTCGAGATTTGTTTGAAGATGCTCGTCAAGATCAACGGAATTTTGGTTCAAACAGTAAATTACATGTGATTGTATTCGACGAAATCGACGCTGTGTGCAAAAATCGAACACAGAGTAGTTCAGTACGTGATACCGTGCATGATAATGTTACTGCTCAGCTCCTAGCTGAGATCGATGGAATGATTTATCTTGACAATATTCTTTTAATTGGCACGACAAATATTCTCGAAGCAATCGATCCAGCACTTCTTCGCCCGGGACGCATGGAGATAGTTATTAAGATTGAATTGCCAGATGCAGCCGCCCGTTCTGCTATTTTTGATATCCACACAAAAGCACTTATCCGCAATGCAGCACTTAATGAAGATGTCGACATCAATCACATCATTCGTCGTACCGAAGGAATGACCGGAGCACATGTGGAACAAATTGTTCGATTGGCAGTTCACGCTGCTATGCAACGAGACATTTTAGCGCGAGATAAATTCGATATTACAGAAGAAGAAGCCGAAGCTCTTGAAGTTTGTCATCGAGATTTCATCGAAGCTTTATCCAAAATAACCATATGATTTTTAAAGAACTAAAAAAAATTAACATTATCATTATAAACTGATATTTTTGCATGATCACACATAACAGAATTCATTTTACACATTGTACTTTGTTCGATTGCTTCTATAGAAATAGTTTGCAAATTTTAAATCTATTATCATAAATGTTTTAAATAAAATTGCTTTTAGAATAACTTTTAGTCGATAATAATGATTATTGATAAATATCAATGATTAATATAATAGATGTATATAAGATATGGAGATATTTTT